CTCTCTCTCTCTCTCTCTCTCTCTCTCTCTCTCTCTCTCTCTCTCTCTCAGCACGAGAATTTCGAATGAATTAGGAGCAAGACAACCACAAGCAGCACGATTGGCAGCTCGTATTGCCACGTGCATGGCTTTCAGTAATAGTGTTGTTACAAGTTCCATGACGATCATAGTTCGTGGACTTTGGGGCTATTTGTATACCAATGATCAACAAATCATTAAGCATGTTGCAAAAATAATGCCTCTTATTGCAATATCAATTTTCATGGAAGGAATTCAATGCGTTCTTTCGGGTAGGAACACGACCATCAGTTTTAATTTCTTTGATTCAAATATGATTTTTTTCCTTTTGAGGATCGCTCAAATCACACTAATTTTAGTTGTTACAAAATTTGACTGAAATTAAATCATTTTTTATATTAATGCATTTGGATAGTCTAGTTTTTGGGTTTAATTATGAATCTATCCACTTCAAAAGTGGATAAGATTCAACATTTTAACTATCAATGGATATAAATAGTGTGAAAAAGGTCATTACTTGGTAATTCTCTCACTAGTTGATGGAGTCTCCATTTGGTTCTAACCCTTCTATTATGTATTTTTTATTTACAAAAAACTTATGTTTATAGATTTGGATGAGAGATCAATGGCTTTTAGTTTTGCCTAAATCTTGTCTACTCACTCAGTTTCCATTTTTTTTTTTGGGTAATTCAGTGGAGAAGACAGGCCCTTACCCTTTTTTTAAATAATTTAGGAGTTAGTGGAGTGGTGTCAATATGAATGAAAACCACAACGTGATGACTAGGGTGTGGGGGTGCTACTACCACGACCCCAACCCCTATCCAATTTTAATAACAAAGATAACCATGTTAAATGATTCATGAGTTTTTTTTTTCTTAAATTATTCTAGGCATTGCTAGAGGATGTGGTTGGCAGAAGCTAGGTGCTGTAATCAATCTAGGGGCATATTATGTTGTAGGTCTTCCTGTGGCTATTCTATTGGTATTTGTCTTCCATGAAGGAGGGAAGGTGAGGCTTTCATTACCTACTTTCTTCAACTTTGAGCTCAATAATCTTGCATCTTATTTTTCTACTTACAAAAAATATAAATTGTGGTGTTGCAAATTCCACTTGACAGGGGTTCTGGATAGGAATCATTTGTGGACTTGTTGTACAGTTGGTTTTGTTGTCTATCATTACCCTATGCAGTAATTGGGAAGAAGAAGTAAGTATACTTTATTTATAAAGCTTTTCATTTGATTAATTTGTTTTATAGTGAAGAGTGTGTATTCTATGCTCCCGTGTGAGCATGCTATTCGACAACATCATCTCTAGGGGCAGAAGACCTACTTGGATGGCTTTTTTTTATAAGAAAAATTTTATTTAAAGTCCCAACCTTAAAATGTAGAATTAAGGTCAACCTTAAAAATCCATTGAAAAAGGTTATTTTGATGTTGGAAAAACATCTAATTGATCATCTTAACATCGAGATATATGGATATGTGAAAAAATAAAGATTTTGACTACAAAACATAGTGCATCTTAGAACATATTATCTAGACATCTATTTTTAAATTTTTCATATATTTATAGATCTTCTTGTATTGAACTATTTTTTGGAGTTTAAACATTCATAATTAGAGATAAAAATGGATTATAAGGCAATCTAAAAGAAATTTGACACAAAAAATACGTCTTATGATAAAATTTGGAGGTGCACCACCTTATCTGGATTGTTTAAGGTCACAACCTTATACGAACTGCACCCTTTTTTATATGAAATTGTGATTTATCTAAGAATCACTATAGAATTATTTGCAAAAGAAAATTGGGCTTTGAGTTCAACATTAATATTTTATCATCTAAAACTTGTGCAGCCTCTGTTCAATTATGCGACTTTTTTCATTCAGCTACTCTCTAGGTTGAAGAGGTGGCATCGCCAAATTTTGGGCATAATTCAAGTTCTACACTAGGTAGTGAATGGAATATATGCTCCCATGGGAGCACAAAATATTATGGGTATAATTATCACCACTAAATATACTAAGTTTCTTCTAATTGTCTTATGTTTATCATCATTATGCAATAAGGACTTTTCATCCCTATATAATTAATCACATTAATTGAATTCTTCAAATTGCTCTCCTTATATGCCAAATTTGAAATGATAGATAAAAGAAAGAGGACAAGTTGTGTGGTTTGCAAGCAATAATAATACCCTCTCTTATAAAAAGCTCCCCCAAATTCTTAAATTGACATAAGGTCTCTAATGTTAATTTTGTTGGATGCTAAGAGGTTTATGATGTAATATCAAATTGAAATTTAATTTTACAATACAGTCCTTAGTCAAATTATTTCAAGACATAAATTTGCCCTTAAGTCTGTTAACATATATTTTATAGAAATGTATACAGTTTTGAAATTGGGTGGTTGAGGATGTGTTAGTATTATGCGCAAAGTCAAAAACAAAATTTTTCACATATTGTGACACACTTTCATTTATTGGATTTTACATTCAATGGTTAAAAGTGATTGTGACCTCCTTGTATCAAAAGTAAACGGTCACATTGTGTATCATTTTATATCATTTCATGATTCACTTAATAAGAGATTTTTTATTTGCTCTTATTTCATATGTGTATAATTTTGATTTTTGTCAAATTGCATTGATCAGGCAAGGAGGGCCAACGAGAGAGTCTTTAGTTCTGAGATGCCACCAGTGGAAATGACCAATACTTCTCTCAATCCCTGATTTATCCATAGAATGAAATAAAGTGATAATGCTACTGGGGATTTGGCCTCAAACTTTTGTGACTCATTCACATGCTTTACAAAGCCTAATACCATTTGCCACAACTCATGTGGTGCTCAAAATGTTTCTAGCAATGTTCTACAACTCGAGCGCGTCCACTCGGGCTTGCCCAAGTCACATGGACTTGGCAAGGTGAGTAGGAATCGGCAAACTCAGCCATATCCTACATTTTGATATAATAACATGCACATAATCAATCGAGTCTCTGATAGACTCGACCGAATTTGTGTGGATGAATCAGACTCAGGACCCTACAGAGTCTTGAGTCTAGGCCCTGTTTAGCACACTGATTTCTAGTGAGGAACATGTCATCATTTGCTAGGTTTTGTGGTTGTTTGTGATAATATTTTAAGAGACTCATATTTGAAGATATGCAAAGTTTAGTATTTTTATGCAGTTTTAGTGAAAATTCATAGTTTAATTCAAAAAGACATAATTTGTAAGATGTAATTCTCAGATGGTCATATCTACAAACTGAATGTTTGGACAAACTACCGTCAATTTTAATTCTACAGCGTTGTGTTTCAAATGTCTGATTGGCCTCTTTACTAAAGTGCATGAAGCCTTGAATCAAATAATGTTTTCTTTTTTTTCTTTTTTCTTTCTTCTTTTTTCCATTTTCTCGCAACACCAACTCCCCCTTTCTCTCTCTTTGACAAGCTGGCTAAAGATGTCCCAATGTTACATGAAAGATGCAATTTAGGTAAGATCATGCTTTTAAACTCTGCTGAGTTGACATGGAATCCATTGAATTACTCTGATTCAACACATTGTCGAGCCAAGTTTTTTAGTACAAATTTGATTATATAAAAATATATTTATTTATTACTAAATCAATGCGTAAATAATTATATAAAATTTATTCTTGATGACGATTTGAGAGTTATTTGTGTCATATGTTTTTTTTTGTTCTCATTTGTGGACTTTTCATAATGGGATTGTAATATTGTATATAATGAGACTATTTATCTTTGATACAAGGTAGTCACAATAACTTACAGCCATCAGATGTGAAATTTGATAGCTTGGATGTGTCACAAAGTTCGAGAAAAATTATTTCAAAGTTTGAGCTTGGTCAATGGAAAAATTGCACCCACCCAAATTCACATCCAATGGTCAAGATTAATGTGACCACCTTGTACCGAAGGTAAATGGTCTCATTCTATACTTTCCCTTTCATAATTGCTTCAAGGTATAAATCAATTTTTTTCGAATTTCATCTTTTCATTTTTTTTGGGCTTTTAATATTGTTTATAGTTTATTTTTCTTTTAACTATTTTTATTGTTTAACAAAGTTCTTGATTTTTTTAAATTTTTTTTTTACCCTTTTTTTGGCACCTATACTACTCACGCGAGTCTACTCGAGTTACTGAGCATTTGCAGGACCAAAATCTTGAGACTAAGCCGAGTAATTGAACCTTGAGCAAAACTGATAAAACCGAAGATTATGGATTTTTCATATCAAGATGCCCCTTGATTGTGCTTCCAAACAACCGTTAAGCACTCGATAAAGAGCACTCTTGCATGCGCATATTCCATTTTAAACATAGATGATGGTTCTTGGAAATAGGTTTGCATGGAACTAGCTTAAACCTAATTCTATAGAGATTAGGGCCATAATTATTAAAAAAATGTTGAGTACCAAAAAAGGAATACAGAGAAAAAAATAAGAAAAGAATGTGAAAAAGGCGAAAAATGGAAAAGGCAAAGAGTAGCAAAAAAAGAAGAAGAAAAGACAAGGGGGGACTAAATTAAAATTTGGAAAAAAAATCCCTTTTTGTTAAGAATTTAAAAATGGTCCCTGCTATTTTATATTTTAGGCTAAATTGTATCTTTTTTCTTAAAAAAGTTATTTAATACCTCTTGTTTGGCATCCAATACGGAAGCATGTATTTTTTAAGTGAGAAAATGGCTCAGATATTTATTCAAAAAAACAGTGGCTCAGGTATTGCATGTGCGAATCGATTTTTTCAATAAAAAATTGGTGGATGTTCCAACAAATTTTTTTCATTAGAAGAGATGTTTTTGGGTTAATGCCCGAAACCAACACTTGTTTTTATGGAGGGAAAAGGGAAAATTGTTTCATGCGGGTTGGACCGCATTTTTACATATGCGGTTCAGAAAGTGTAAAGCATCCATCTCAAAGATGGATGCAAGTAGGTGTTCCATCTACAAACAATGGAGACTAACAATCCAAATATTTTTTACTAGAATTATTTTTTTTAGTTTTTAAATTTATTTATTTATTCATATTCATGATCTAGATTTATATGTCCTTAAAAAATAAGCCTTAAAATCCATCTAAAAAATAGATTTATTAAGAGGGCCGCATTTCTACATATGCGGGCTTGGCCGCATAGAAACCGGATCTAGAGAAAAGTCGTTTTGAACTCATATTTTCACTCAAATTTATGGTTTCTCTCTTATTTTCTCTCATGGTCCCGATGGAACAACATCTCTTTTACTTTTTGAAGGACTTTCCAGTTAAAAATAATTGTTTGGATTTAGACATCCAAAGTCCAAATTCAAAATTTTGTATTTTTCAATAAAAGACCAATCTGGATATTGGTTGTTTGAACTGGTGTTTTGCTCAAAGAATCAGTGTAGAAATCCAATGTCTAAACTACTTTTTCACATGGGGAAAATATACCACAGTTTGAACCTTAGGTGTCCGAAAGTAGGGTAATTCAGGAATAAAAAACACAAAAAAAGACCTGAGCAGTATAATATAAAATATACATAACTATTTTGGCATTTCAAAAAAGACATGAGATTTTGTGTAAATTTCGCTTAAAATAAAAAAATTATTTTTGCATGAAAAGGGCACATTTTTAACAATGCTAGCTATTGTTTTCATATTTTCTCATCATTTTCGTTTTCTTTACTGTCCTTACTAAGGTATAAAAAAAATGGATCAGTGACCTGGATCAGCCACTTCAGTGTTGGATCGATGGATCGGCAATCCAGATCGGCTAGTTTTGGTTTCAAAAAAATTTTAAAAAAACCACTAAAATTCTCTAAAAATAATTGGCATTGTTATTTATATACCTTTCGTTATTGTGCAAAAATACATGATTATTGAGATATTGTTTCCTTATCTGGTTCTCTGTATAATAATTAATAGAAAAAGCTAACAATAGCTAGCCAACTATAATAAATAGTAATATAGGTGAAATGGGAGCCGTCAGATCTTCATCATGTTGTTCGTAAAGAATATCACTTTTTAAATTTTAATTATTTTTCTATAAATCAAATCATAATGAAATTTTAGACATGGGTATTAAAAAATAGGGCGCACGAATAAAAAATATAAAAAAAATATTTTTTAAAATATAAAATGATCAAAATACCCCTGAAAGATGTCAGGGGTCGTTTGGTCATTTTAAATTATTGAAAATAATTTTTTTATATTTTTATATGGTGCGCAGTAGTGTTAAATATATACACCCAAAATTTCATATTAATCAGATTTATATAAAAAATTAAAATTAAAATAATGATGTGCATTTTGAACCGCATAATGAAAATTTGACAGCTCGCCTATACACTATTCATTATAGCTGGCCAACTGTTGTAAGGTTTACCCATAATTAATTATAATATAATATTATGATATTATATTAAATATGATTCAAAAAATACTAAAACTCATTTCCATATTATAACATTAAAAAAATCTTATCTCTTATAAAGTGAAATTAGTATCACATCACACATTTGTTAATTCTCTCTGCTCACCCAAAATTATCACAATCTAACCAACTAAAATACTATGTAGTATATAACCAACTATAATGCTATATAGTATATACTAAAATTGGAATTATTACTCTATATTTTATAATTATTTTACTATAATAGTAAAAATAAATTTTATATTTGTCTTATAATATTATCTACCTTTAAAAATCTTATGTACAACTATATCAAAAAGGAATATATTATGTAATTTAAATATAAATAAATTAATAAATAAAATACAAGATTTTGTTGTTAATATATAATTACTAATTATAATATCATAATATTACATTAAACATGATTCAAATAAAATATTAGAAACCATTTCTATATCATAAAGATTAAAAATAATATAAAACTCCGTATAAATTTCGATGTTATGACATTTAAAAATAATTTTTCACTAAAAAAATAATGACATAAAATATGAGAAAAATAAAAAATGAAAAAAAGATTGAATCACACACCATATGCATCAATAAACTATATGCATAAATGCCCCACATTTATTTAGAAAATTATTTTTAATATATGATTTCTCAAAATCCCCTAAACAGTTTGCATATGGCTGAAAATATAACTTGTAATCATGTTTTAATGAAAATAAAAAACAAATAAATAAATTTATGCTTCTATAAGTTATTGTTATTTACCGCAAAAAAAAAAATTTTTTGACAAACTTGTTATATTTCATTATTTACCTCAAAATTTATTCGTCTACCTACCCTATTTAATCACCCCCATATATTTACCTCAAAATTTAGTCTTTTTCCCACCCTATTTAAATATTTAATCACCCATAGAAGTGTTAAAGACATGTTTAATTACACTTAGAAGTCGTAGTGGGAAGGAAGATTTGTCCGACACCAAAATATTTGAGCATGCAAAGCCTTCATAAAAACCCACACTCAATCCTCATGCAATGAGTTTAAAAATACGGCATCGGCAGCTACCCCTCGTTTTTTTAAAAAAATCGGCCGGTTTCTTACGGCAAAGATCTGACAGGTTCAAGGGGGATTTGACCAATTCTCGATATATGGCAGGAATCGGATCGCCATTGATGATTCTCGATTTAGATTAAGCGATTTTTACTTTTTTAAAATT